GTTGTATAATTGTGAAAGAGTCTATGCTACTTAATTTCCTCAACTGAAGAATGCGGCTGTGCGTGGAGACTGCCTGGACCTGTTTGTGTTTGGCCTGAAGTGTTTCCCAAAACTTTCGGGCTCGCGGCTCTTGGGCAAGGGTTTCTCCACTCCCTGGCTTGGGGGAGACCCGCCATTTGCCCTGGTCTTCCACTTGCGTACTTAGGGTGCATGCCGAAGGCATTTTGGTTTCTTACCTCTGAAATGTTTTGTCCTTTAAGAGAAGAAAGACTGGCAGAAGAGAAAGGAAAGAAAGAGAAGGGAGGAAAGAAGCCGTAATTGTTAGATGGAGGGTTGCAGAGATAATGGTAAGTCTGTGGCATTCATTCCAGATTTACCCCTAATAATAACCACTGGTTTTAACTACGCTACATCCAAAGGTTTCCAGCCGGTGAGGTGGGAGATACAGACAGGTCTCAACCATTCTCCAGATGCCGCAGCCATGGGCCATGGCGTGAAGCCACGCCCGATAGGGAAGGACCTTGTGCAGCAGCAACTGCTGCTTTCCTTCTAATCTAAAATTCTATGATTGTTGCATAAATCTTTAGAAATCCAAGATATCTGGAAGAGTACGCTAATGTCAATCAATTATCAAACATTTTTGAACTAAGTTACAACTGCAAGTAAATTAAGACAGTTTGGAAAAATAAAAAGGATATCTATCAGGGTTTTTCTACAAAAAGAAAGAAAGAGTGAGTGAATGAAAGGAAGAAAGAAGGAAAATGCTGAGGACTCTTGATACCTTCCAAGGTAACAGAGGAACTGTTTCTTTTTCTGCACAGCGATGTCCTCGGAGGAAGATGCCTGTACTAGTTATTCACATTTTGATGCTCATCAGCTAGTGGAGATCCAGTGCCAGCGGGAAGCGGGTAAATGCTTAATGACCAGATTTCTGGGGTCAGGGCACTGGGACATCTGATTTCTAACCTTTGCCAATTTCTTAGGGAAAATATTCCCACGAGGGCTGGTTTCAAGCTACCAACAAGAGGTCGCCATAGTTACTGAAGAAAGGCCAATGATCATTCACTTGCTGGCTCTAGCACACCATTATTTTCTTGTCTTTTAACTTGGGTTGTACTTTCATGACGTTAGTGTAACATGTAAGGAAAAGCCTAGAAGATGTGTGAGAACGCTGTCACCACCCTTATGAAATCTGGGTCACCTTGTGGTGAATGACTTCAGTCATGAAGAATATGTAACTCCAGAGGGACCTAAGAAAGCATGGCAGCCTGTGGAAATGCTCCTGCAGGCAGAGCGGAGCCCGTACATGACGAGTGACACCAGGCTAACATGGGCTACCTGATGGTGTTAGTCTTTTCAAAGGATGGCAGCTCTCATCACAGCAGATCCTGCCCGGCCAAACTGCAGCCCCTGCCACAACAAATTCATCAGCAAACGCGGTTCCTGCAGAGCAGCTTCCGGCAGCCCTAGCATAGTATGCAGACCAGAAAACACTCCAGCATTGAGGCCAATCAAGGGAGCAAGTCACTGGTGTATGTGACTGATTGACTACAGTAACCTGAACCAAACACGGAGCCAAAAAACCACTGCCAGGTTACCAGTTAGGTTCCCTGTTGGCTGAATCCACGGGGTGGGGCGGTGCTGCCTCAGCAGCGTCTGTAGCATTTGATATAGATGCTAACGTTTGTGCTCTTCTCTGCGGGCAGGCAGGTGTCCTGGGGACTGACAGGGGCTTCACACTTAGCCGCATCCCAAGCGCTTTTTAAAAATGGTTTTTGAGACAGGGTCTTACTAAGTTGCTAAACTGCTCAGGCTAGGCTCAGATTTAGGATCCTCCTGCTTCATTCAGCTGCCCAAATTGTTGGGATAAACGGCATAAATCCCATGCCTGGCTTTTGTGTGTCTGTGTGTGTTTTGTACAACTAAGATCAACTCTTTTTTTTTTTTTTTTTTGGTTTTTCTCCGGTACCGGGAACCGAACTCACAACCTTGTGCTTGCCAGGCAGGCGCTTTTGCCGCTGAGCTAAATCCCCAGCCCCTACTAAGATCAACTCTTATTAAAACTGGTTCACATCTATCTTAAAATTTTTTTAGAGTAAACTGGGAACAAAAATAAGCAACCACCTGATAGACACCCCGACATCACTTGATGAGCACGCCCTTTGAAGCTTTTCTTACATTCTGACATCCTGAATAGTATTCTGGTGGCCTTCACAGCCACTGTGACATCTAAGTTGTCTATACTGCTGTCTCGTCTCTCAGATTCCCGCTTCAGCTCTCGCTCTTTGTATCTTCTCTGTTATATGAATGATGGGATCGGGTGTGTTCAGGGTGCTATGGTTACAGACATGTTATATGAGCGAAATGCAGTTCTGGGATTCACTTGCATGCAAACGCAAATACGGAGATGTAGACACAGCGCCACACCAGAACTGAGTCACACTGTAAATTGCCTTCTGACCCTGACATCTTGGGAGACTAAGGAACCGAGGAGCTGCCTGTGTCAGCAGTCTGTGGACCTGTGACAAACACTAATGAGTCTAGATTAAGGGCTCTGGACTGGAAGACAGATTTTCTTGATTTGAATTCCTGATCTGTCTACTGTCAGTAGCACTGACTCTGGGAAAAATCACATAGCCTCACTGAGCCTAAATTTCCTCACCTACAAAATAGGGAAAAACTATTCTACGAGGCAGCCATTGAGAATCAACTGAGAAAAATCTCATGAAGCATTTAGGGCAGCTTCTAAACCTTACCGCACACTAAATGTTAGCTGTTACGTTATAAATTAGCTGCACAGGTGAAATAAGACCAGATACCTCAGGTCGCACACACATTACAGCACTCTCTTTCTCTGACTTTTGCCACACAAGTATTCTGCTTTGGAGGTCACTCAGATCGCTGGCTTGGCTTGTACTGCACACACTGTTTGAAGCAGTGTCGTTCCAGCTGAAGTGATCGGCTGCTACATGTTTTGGACAGTGTGTGCCGGAAGTGTCCCTGTCCCTAACTGTGTACGTTTTCTACTCCTTGTTCCGAAGTGGAGATTAGAAGATAAGATTTGTGACTGACATCTTTGCCTTTAGAGTTTCACCTTCGCAATACACTTTTCCGGCTAATACTATCACCAGATTTGATGATTCACCCATTCACCATGTGTTTTCATTTGCTCACTCATTCAATTCCAATAATTTAGGCCAGAAACTGCTCGTGTTAGAGATTGAAAACAGATGCTTAGGTTTGGTTTTTAAGAGATTCACAATAAATCTAGTACAAAAGGTATGTAAATAACTGGTAAGACCATAAAATTATTTAAAAAAAAACCCCAATGGTGACGCATTTATAAATTCCTCTTTGAAACCTTAGGAACAAGCAACAGCTTTTGTTTTTGACTATTTTTTTTTTTTCTTGGGACCGGGAATTGAGCTACGTCCCTGGCCAGAGCCATGGCTTTTGTTGGAGAAGCTGCAAAATGTTTCATGGAAAAGGTAAAACTTGGTCCTTGGTGTTAAGCCCATTAGGAGATAACAGAAAATATTTACCAGGAACGTAAAATAAAGCCCTGACTCTGAAAGTATTCAGGACATCTAGGGAAAGGCAAGTGCGTGGGTGGTAATACGGAGTATGTTTGTGGGGAAAGAGGGTCAGAAAGGTTGTGAGTGCCCTGAAGAAGGCTGTGTATGCTGTAAGGGACTAAAATGTCTTTCCTTTTTGTTTTGTTTACCCAGCAAGTACTCCTATGCCTTCGTGATGGCAGGCGACCTTCCCGTCCTTGCTACAAAGCAGGCACCCAGGTCAGGCCTGGCCAACCCAGACATTGGTGGCTTGGATGACGCGCGCCTTCTGGAGCGGGGTGTGGGCCAAACTCTCGGTGTGACAGGGCAGTCAGCTGAAAAGAAGTTGTGCCTTCCCCCTCCTCACCCCCGCTTCATCTCTAGCAAGAGCTGCCTGCGATCCAGTTATCTGCTCTGCGGAGAAGGCTTGTTTGACTTTGCAGATAATGAGCCCAGGGAGCAAAAAGAAGAGTGCACAGAAGTGAGACACACATCAAAAAGAGCGAGGTGCAGAAGGGCTGAGTTTCCGGCCTGCTCTGAGGCCATGGCTACTGACCACTCCCTTCGCCTCCACAAGGGACCTTCAACCCCCGCCACATGAGCCAGTGGATCTTCACTCGGCTTTAGTGAGTGAAGTTAAGTTGTGCCATTCCCACCTGAAAGACCCCGGACTAACACATCCGCTTGTTAAAACTTGGTTTTGTGGGGTTGGGAAATGGCTGCCTCACACAAAACTTAAGAGCTGAAATGGTTTTCAGGGGGTGAGTGGTGGTTCAGTCATGCACTGGGAAAGCCGCTCAGGGGCTGCCCAGAAGTTGGGTTCCAGAGGGCCCGTTTAGGTGGTTCTCAGGCCTTTTAAGAATGCTTTGTTGCAAGGATTTCTGGCTCTAGACAGAAGCTTGGCTCCCTGGGCACTTCCTGTGCTTCTGACAAAATGCCCTCTGGCCTGGTCTCTGCAGCACTTCTCTGGTACCTCTGGCTTGGTGGCTCTCTGACCTCCACCTGCCAGGGCTCCCTGGAGGGCTTGCTCAGTAAACTGTACCACGTTCTACATGCCAATGCTGCCAGCCCCACGGCCATGCTGTGAGAACTGCGGCATGAACATTTCACTGTGGCTGGACTCCATCAATTGCTCATCTGCATTACTGGCTGGATTGCAAAGTTTCTTGAGGATTTTCTTATTCATCTTTGTACAGCCCTCAGCAGTTACCATAATAATGCCTTACACAGCAATGGTATTTGATACGTATTACTATGCGATTAACGAGATTTAATATCTCATTGTAATAAATTCCCTCAGTTACCATTCATTCCGATAGACGCTTTCCAAAAGAAGTACACTGTATGTAAGTAGAGAAGGGATTGAAAGGCAGACTTCTCCTGGGCTGCCTGCCTTTCACTGCACTGCCCATCTGAAGAGGCCTGGGTGGTACACGGTGGCATTACCTGAGACATCCAGTGACGTTGTAGAATATATCAAAATCAAGCAAGCCGTTTGTTTTGGGGTAGTCTCCTTCGGGCCACCCCGAGAACGGGATGACGATGTTCTCAGTCAGGGTGAGCAAGGCTTCAGTTATCATGAGATTCTTGAGTTTGTCATTAGAAGACAAATTCCACAGCAAACCTAAAAAAGCAAAGAGTTACCATGGGAATGGTGTAGTGTGGGGTCACAGGGACTGCTGAAGAGTTCAGCTAAGGTCATGAGCTCCAGGCCTGGGACTGTGATGAAAAAGGGGGACCAAGTGGGAAGGCGGTAAGGAGCCCCTTCCTCAGCGGAAAGACCCTGCCTAAAGCTCATTAGATGCTAAGGGAAGCTGAGCCCTAAGAACAATTAAAGATATACGCAGTCTACGATACCAAATGAGGTGGGTTTCAATTAATCAGGGGTATGAGTGGAAGCCTTTTCTGCTCTTTCTCTGAAATGACCCTGACACAAAGCTGACGCCACTGAGGTAAGCAGCTCCGTGCTTGCTAACAGGCCCCACGGACTAAGACCTCAGAGTTTCAAGAGTTCTACTTCTCCTCCCTAGACTCATGGGAGACTCTCCTCCCGGCCTCTGGCTACCCACTACCTGTAACTTTCACCTGACAGTTCGCCTCTTGTTCATAGGAGGAAGAGCTCACAAAAGCCCTTCTCTCTGCCTGCCGACAGGAGGCTGATTAACATCACCAACAATGTCCACTGACGCCTACCCAATGCGAGCTCGTGTCTCCTGGGAATCTGAGCTGGCCGCCTTATGAATCTCTCTCTAGATGGGCAGCAGCGTACAGTATCTTATCTACCTGCCAACTCCCGTTGTCTAGGTACTGGTTTATGACTAGAGTTCCTCACATAACTTGCCCTTTCTTTCTCACTGCCCTGCATTTAAGGGAACGACCAGAAGAGCCAAGCAGGAAGAATTGAGATAACAGTGTGATGTTCTTTCTGAGGTATTTGTGAGATTCCCCAGACTGCAGGCTGGGGCTGCAGCTTGGGACCGAGAGATTAGAAAGTGCCACATACATTGAGGATTTGTTTTTTCTTGTACATCTGGCGCCCAAATAACTGCTGACTCAGTGGAAGAAGACCCATGTGCCTGCTGCCTGATATTCCAGGACTTCTGCAGGGGGTAATGCGGCAACCTTCATAACCCCACGCACTGCCGCTCAAGACAGAGGAAAGCGAGCAGGGACAGGAAGAGCAGCACTAAATCTTCCTTTTCTACCTTACTTCCCCAGCTCCCAGCACTCATTCCTGCGTCTTAAATTGACTGCATAGCTTGTCCCACAGGAGCCAGAAACCAGGTCCCCAGGGAAATCTGCTGTGTGAACAGGCAGACACGGCAGTGTTGGCTGGATTTAGTGGTGATGTCATCTGAGCCGATTTTAATGACTGAGATAATTATACAGTTAAAGCCTGGTAATTTTTGAACCATACTTGTGTTTGGCCTAGTCAACCAGAACCCTTGGAGCCTAACGTAGTCTTCTGAGCTTACATGGTTTGCTTTGGTTGTGTGGGAGTCACTGGTTTCTGAATCAGTAACCAAAAATCCACTGCAGCCTACACATTGTCTGCACTGGATGCAGGAGGATGTGTCTGCTATCTGGTGACGAGGGGGGTGCAGGGAGAACAGCTCAGAAGGTGGCCGAAGACAATGGAAAGGCAAGTCTAAAGCTGAGGTTTAGCTACTACTAAGCTACAAAAAATGTTAGGAAGAAAAGAGAAGGGAAGAAAGAGCTCCCTGAGCTCTAAGTAAGCAAACAAATTAAGTCTCTACCTGCCAGAGGCTTAAACATGTGAAGCATAATGACATTTCCTCTTTTGAAAAGGACCACACAGGGCACTCAAAGAGAAACACACCTCACGATGAAAGGCAGAGAGGATTAATTTGAACAAAGGGAATGGAATTTTCCTGCAACAGGCAATACCTTTTATAGTCTGGCAAATGTATTGTTTCTACAGACACACATGGTTTGGAAAGATTTGGCATGATCTTTCAATTTTTAATGTGGGAAACTGTATCGAAATGTCTTGGCCACCAAATATCTAGGTGGCATGAGGGTGAAATGTTTAGTAGAGGTTTGGGCGTTCTATGTTTACGTATACATATCACCCCTCCCCGAGACACATAGAAAATCAGTAAGTAACCAGCTACAAACTGGGGTAATATGTACAAGATCATGAGACAGAGGGTCAACACCCTTCATATAGAGAGTTATCATAAATTGTTAAAACCTGAGATGTCAGTTTAAAAATCGGGAGAGTATTTAACACAAAGCCCAAAGATATCTGGGTTAATAAAACAAGGCTGTATGTTTTTTAGGAACTAAAAAAAGGCACATGTAAACATTTTAGTAACTGAAAAAAGGCACATATAAACATGATAGCATTTTTCTGTGACTATGGGAGGCACAACCTGAGCTAAAGAGTGAGAATTCTAACAAAGGAGAGTGTGGCTCCTTTTGAGGAAAACAGCAAAACCTACATGTAAGACCCAGCTCTATCCCTGGGGAGGACAGAAATAAGCTTACTCCACACCAAGATGCTGACAAGGATTTATTCTGAAATGAGTATAAGACTAGCAACTTCCAAATGAACCAAACAACAAATTAGAATCACAGTCTTAGGCCACAATTCTTCCTGCACTGGGAATACTTTGTTTCTCTCTCTCTTTTTCTTTTTTTTTTTTTTTGGTATCAGGACTCGAACTCAGGACCTTGCACTTGCCAGGCAGGCACTTGTGGGAATGCTTTGGAAAGCAAGATTATAAAGAACCAGTTCTCTCACTATTATCATCTCCTCCTTGTCCTCCTCATACTTCAGTGCAAAGAGGAGTTTACTTAATCTAAACATTGAAAGTTTTTCTACCTAAGAGTTAACGCAGATTTAAATAACTGTATTTCCTGTCTTCGAGGGCAACAGTAATAAGATAAAGGTTTTAATATTAGAAGATCCCTTTACCAATTAGCTATGCCTTGTAAATCTTGCCTGGAATATCTGGCGCCCACTTTTGTTGGAAAACTTACCCCAGCTGGGCAGCTGTACACAATTAAATCGTATGCTGACCTAGCAGCAAAGGAGGCACAGGTCACCTTTCAGATAAGCCCCTTTCTTCAAAATTCTGCGATGGGGATAAATAATGAAGGACGGCCTTCAATCAGCCACTGAAGAGTAGAGGATTCTCCAGGTGGTGTGAGTGCAAGACAGCAGCACAGAGGGCAACCCAGGAGGGAAGACCGCCGCGGCGCAGGCCAGCGTGTCCTTCAGGGCTTCAGAACCCGGGTGAGGACAGCGTGAGAGGAGACGCTGCTGCTGACAGTTATCAGACTCGCACCGTGAAACCTTCGTGTGGGATGCCACAGAGCACCGACTTCACCTTACAGGCCGTAAGGAGAATAAAGGGCCGGCGTTTTCATCTGGGAAAGAAGCGTCTAGAAGCAGAGTGGAGGGCAGACTGGCAAGGTGCTACACTGAATCGGAGAGATCGGGCAAGACAAGGCACAGTGTGGGAAGGGTCAAAGAGCAGGCCGGCAGGGCCCTCTGATCCGAGAGTTTCAAAGCCAGCCGCTTCCCGAAGGCGTATAGAAATGAGTCACCGGGCCGTCAGATGAAGGAGGTGGGCGCATACCTGGGCTTCCCTCTCTCCTCCTTGTGCAACCTTGTGTGATTTCCGTCGTGCTCCTGAGCCTCACACTGACCCCATGTTAAGTCATCACCTGTTCTCCCACCCCACGCACGGCTGTCAGGAAGAGCAGATAAAAGTAGCCCTAGCTTAGTGATTATAGCACGGGCCCAATCAGAAGTCTAAGAAGTAGACTGGCTAAAAAAAGAGAGACACACGTATGTGATTACTTGCTTTGTGTTTCTAAACAAAGATAGGAGTTTTTATTAGGTCTACAATTATTTCTGAGAACTGGCAAGCATTTATTTAGCTCTTCTATTTTCAGAGAAAAAGGGAGTAATTTAGAAGGATTTGTAGCAAATGTCCAAGTATCAGTTCAGTCCAATTAACACGTCATGAATGCCCATCAGCACGGAGCTTGGCTTGTACTAGAGATCCGAGTGCTGCACTGTCAGCCTCATGTATCGGCTCTAGAGAGCATCTAGTGATGCCTGGGGTGTTTCTATGGCACCAGCATCACCCAATGTTCTCTGACTCTAGCTTCCTACTGCCTGAGTGGAAGAGGAACCACTCCTCACCCCAGGCGTTCTACATTCTGTACTCTAACTCCCGTCATTGTATTTTCCAGGTTTCTTCGTGATCAGCAGCTTCTTTCCACCTCTGTTTTTCATAGTGTTCACTTTGTCAGGAATAACTTTCATGCTCCTTTGAAACACCAATCCAAGGCCTGTCCTACCTTTTTTTTTTTTTTGTGGTGCTGGGGATGGAACCCATGGCTCCACGCATGCTAGGCAAACCTGTACCACTGAGCTACACCCTCTGATGAGGCAGCCTTCCCTCACGGAATCTTCCTTCATCAGAATCCTCTGCTTGAGGCTTTCTTGTGGCTTGTTCTTACGTTTTAATAAGGAAAATGTTGGGCTCTAAATGTGAAGTTTCGTCTTTTGTTTTTATGGCAGTGAGTGCATAATCTTTCATCTTTAGTAGATGGAAAAACAAAATTGACAACCTCCTCGGGCTGTGATTCTTAGTGCCTGATACCTGAGAGCTGCTCTGTAAATGTTAGCTCAATGGATGAGATCATTCTTAATTTCTACAGATGTTTTCACATAATGGATATGAAAGGAAATCTCCCACGGGACAAACACCATGCTGGCAGAAAGGTAGAATGGCACAGTCCTTCCTATTGCTGTATATGATTAAAGTATATCAAAACAGGGGCTGGAGATGTAGCTCGCGGGGAAGGCACATGGTTAGCATGTATGAGGCCCTGGGTTCAGCCCCCAGCACAGAAAAAATGTATTAAAGTAGAAAAAATATGAGTTCTAAGCAAGATATAATGACAAAATTTTATAGAAAAAATAGGAGTGGGGGGGCGTGGTGGCGCATGCCTATAATCCCAGCACTTGGGAGGCTGAGGCAGGAGGATCGTTGTGAGTTCAAGATCAGCCTGGGCTACAAAGTGATCTCAAGCCCAGCCTAAACTGCAGAGCAAGACGCTGTCTCAAAGAGACAAAAAAAAAAAAAAAAAAGAAAAGAAAAAGAAAAACAAAAAATAAAGATTTGTGTAATAGTATGAAGTCAAAAGTGCAAAATATATTCAGTTTAAAGCAATATGTAGTGTTTCCTTTTAAAGCATTTATCAGAACTCTGTCAACTAGTATCATTGTTTTTAAAAGCTTATTTGCTGTAAATACAATGTTGAGTGAAATAAACCAGACACACAGACGTAAGTACTATATGGTATCTCTCCTTTGAGTGAGGCTAAGTCCAAAGAAGTCAGAGACAAGGGGATGGTTCCCTCGCACATGGGCAGGGGTCTCAAAGACCAAGGGCAAGGGGTGAGGAATGAGGAGGAGAGGAAGAGAAATAAGCAGGATTAACTTACGCCACACGCAGGAACCTGATAACCTCCATCAGTGTAAACACTGTATGCCATAAACATGAGCTGAGATTAATAATATCAATAAAAATGAAGACAGGGAAAGGGAAATTAGAGGAGGAGAGAGCGAGGGGGAGAGAAAGAGAAGGAGATTTTAAAAAAGGAAGCAAGCTGTATAATGTACCCATCCCCCAAGGTGGTTGTAAAATGCACTGCGAACATGTACTAATTAAGAAATAATAAATAAAAAGAAAAAAAAGCATTAACTCCTCTGCATCTTAGTTTCCCAGACTGTAAAACTGAGATTTAAGAGCCAATAATACCTTAAACCCTGAAGTATCTGTGATAACTAAATGTTAAAATGCTTATGTATCACTTGAGTTATTGAAGATAATTATCAGCCTCCCCGAGGTGACACCAGACGGCTGTGCCCACCAGCGCTTCCTGCAGTCGGAACCGTGTGCAGGGCCGTGAGCAGAGCCCGGAGCGGGATGGCAGGGAGGGCGGCTCCTGCCGGGACCCCTGAGCGCCATCTTTTCCTCTACTAGACGCACAGTTCATGTAAGTGGCACGAGCCTGGTTCTCTACGCTTCTAGGAGATACCACTACAGCCGCTGCTTTAACCCTGTTCAGATAGCTCAGTTTTGAAAGCCACTGTGCAGGAAGGAGATACCTATTTATCCAGACCGCATGGAGACAGAAACACGAAGCACAAAACTGAACATATTCAGCTGCTCTTTTCTCTCTTTTGGGGTACTGAAGGTCAGATTAGCTAAGGAGGTAGCATTAAAATGGAGTAAATAGTTTCTTATGCTGTGATGGACGGTTACATTGTTGGAAAACTATTTGACTCTCCACTTCTCCTTCCTTATACAAACCCACTGAGATGGCTGTTGAGTAAATAATGAAAATAACAGGGGTAGTTCCTGTCGATTTCCTTCAGGATATTTTAGATACCAGGACAACATCAAAACTCCACCCATCCTCAAACTATAAACTTGGCTGTCAAGGAATGCGTGCGGAATTTTCACATAGTGAATCTTATCAAGAAGTCTTAAAGAAGCATTTTTATATATACATTTAAGCAAAAGCTTCAGAATATTTTCCCCTTCAGAAAAAAGAATTCAGACATGGCTTGATTCTGGGCTCTAAGCCAGCAGGTAACAAGGTTGCTTTAAAACCATCTCTTGGATAACAATAAGCCCATCAATCATCCACTCCAGGAAATTTAAGAAAAACACATGACCTAACACATCCGGCTCGGCTGCTGTGTTCTGTTCTGGAACGCGTGGTAAGTCGTACCTGTGATCTGCTTTTTAGTCTCCAAGTCTCTGGTCTGCTTCAGCACCTGCAGCAGTCGGGGCACCCCGTTTAGTTCAGCGACCTCCAGCTTGTTGTCATTATCTTCAAACACCAAGTTTCTCAGGGCCCCACACACAGCTCGCTGGACATCTTCATTCTGAACTTTGAGCAGCTGTAGAAGCTTGGGGATGCCACGCAGCTGGTAAACCTGCGGGAGAGGACACATATTTTCAACACTCGTGAGTCTGACGTGGCATAAAGACACTCAGTGTACTAGACCCGATGAAGTTCCCGGATGTTGGTTATAATACTCATCACTCAGCGACTCTGGGATATCCATGAACTGTTGCCCTCTGCCACGTGCTACCCTGCCTTGGAGCCGGCCGAGTACGGACTGAAACCTTCATAAACTGTGAGCTTAATAAACCTTTCCTTCCTTAATTTTGGGCGTTGGGTATTTTGTCTCAGCAAGGACAGAAAAAGTAACCAAGACACCAAGTATACATAGTACTAGAGTATCCTGTGATCTTTCAGTACAGAGGAAAGTGCCTTTTTGATACTTCTAAAGCTTCACTGCTACTAATGTGAAGAAATCTACTGCTACTTATTAGCTCCCTTCAGAGGAGACGTGCCGGACTGGAGATAGAGACCGGCCAGAGCAATTCTGTCTATAACTAAGTCTTTCTAAACACATTTGTGTATTAATGCTAATGGCGAAGATTTCTTAGCTACCCGCTAAACCCTGTTTAACAGATCATCTATTTGACTGCCTCATCTATTCTCCTTATCATACATTCCTAAAAGCAAAAGAAGAGCACAATTTATGTGAAAATAGCTTATATTTCACATTTCTGTAATTCTCTCCATTTTCTTTCACAGCAGTTAAGGTGGCTAAATTCATACTTCACGAACTTCATGAATGCCTGCTAGACCCAAGCTTCAGAGTAGCAGAATACACATTAGATGGAAAAAGAAAATTCTGCTTATCCTGAGGTACTTTGACAGCACTAGATATATTAATTTATAATTTATAGGGTGCCCCCTCTTGAAAATACGATGTGAAATGTCTGAGCGGCCCCAGGGCACTGCGAGCTGCCGGGAGCTGTGAGAGGGGCGTGGCAGCGGAAGCCGAGTGCGGTAGGTCTTGAGCTTTCTCCTCTGTCTGCTGGGCTTTCAGCACCGGCTTAGTCCGGAAGGAGGGTGCCTGGGACCCGCGGTACTCAGATAAAGCCTGACACCCCTCACCCCCGCAGGGATTTACCTGCTGTGGAATTTGACTCCCGAGTGTCTGGAATTTATCCCAGGTTTAAAAATAGCTTTTGGTTTCATTTACGCAAATAGATATACAGCACACTAAATGCAAGTTGGGAGCGTTTTCCTTCCTGGGATTAGCCAGGAAGAGACGCCGGGACCTGCGCACCTTACGATCCAGACGTGCAGCTGGAGCCGGAGAGGACTGCAGAGTTTCCCCGTCATAGTGAACCCTCAGAGGGTTCCCCCCTTTGAGGAAACGAACAAATAAAAGACTGATACAAATGTCACACAACTCCAAAAAGGCGTTTGCTTCTGAATTTATGAAAGGGCAGAACACCTATCAGAGTTTTAACCTCCTCTCTGGCGTCATGCTCATGCTGGTCCTGCCGGTCATACAGTCCGTCAAGGACGGGCGTTCAGGCGGCCGTGAGCACCGGAGCAGCGGGCAGTGGGGGCCTCCGCTCGCGGCCTTCGCTGCCTGTCCCGCCCACCCCACCTTTCTTCCGGCAAAGGCCCGCTCATCCGGTGAGATGCAGCTCAAATGTCACCTTCGTGAAATGTCACTCCCTTCCTCTCCTTCCCCTCCCATTAGAATTAATCACTCATAAATTGGTCTAACCTTTCAGGAAGGCAATCGGCAATGTGTGTCAAAAACTTTTAAAATACTCCCAGTAACCTTCATTAGGAAAATATGTGAAGTGTAGACGCAGACCAATACGCAAAACCAGTAACTGCATTATTTGAAAAAATGAAAAATAGCTAACGACAGGGAAGACGGGCTGAGGGCGCTCAGGGAGCCGCATGTCGCGGTCTCCAGGGGGGACGCAGAGCAGGGCTGGGGCTGATGGACGCTTCCTGAGTCCTTCGGTCCCCACACGGGGACCATGTAGTTTGCAGTCACATTGCACACGGTGGTGACACAGCGCACGGTCGCTACTACTGTCACCACTAAAACGCCACCGGGAAACTGGGGTTTATAAAATGTTAATGTCATGAGATAATGATTATCTCTGGTAGAGATAATGATTATGCTATTTTAAAAGTGGAGTAAAACATACTTGCATTTCCGCTCATAAACACAGGGGTAAAGGAAATGAGACGAGGGGATTTGGGAGAAGTGATACACATATAAGTCATGAACAGGCTCTGCTATTATAAACAAGGATGCATTTATTCCTGGTTTAAGAATTAGCTTTAATTTTTTTTTTTTTTTGCCTTTAACTCTGGGTACTCCCAAGTGCTAGGATTACAGGCATGGACAATACACCCAGATTAAAAGTTTTTTAAAATCCCAACAAACAAAGCTACAAATTCAACTTGATTGAGGATGTGTAAATATATGAATTAAAAATGAGAGGATAAAATAAGGACAATGGTGGGTCTGTAGGTATGCTTTTTTTGTATCATAATTTCTCAAATTTCTTTTACTAAACTTGAATTAGTTTTATAGTAACATTTTGCAAAACATACTGGCAGTCGCTACGCTTCAGTTCTAAAGCCAGAAGTAGGCATGGAAACAAAAGTATTTTTAAAAGAGTCTTACAGATTGAATGAAGAGATTTGCCTTTTAACTTGCAGGCCAGAGGAGTAGTTACTAGAGAGGTCCTCCTGTGCTGGACGGGACTGGGTCAGGAGGGGAAAGGACGGAGGCAGGGATGTTCATGGGCGGGGCAGCCAGACTAACAGATGACGGTGACAAGGACGGACAGCAGCGCTGAAGAGGGAACAAAGATGTCTGCAGATTCAGGACACTTTTAGGAGCAGCTTTCGTAGGACTTTGAAGACTGAGTGTATATGGCGGTAACCAAAGCTGAAGGTTCAAAGACTGTTCCCGTTCTAGGGCCAGACTACCTGAATGAACTACTATTCATAGAAAAAAGAACTGCATTTTGAGCATCTCTAATCCAAAATACAGAATCTGAAACACTCCGAAGTCCAGCGTGCTTTCAGCACTGCCATGATGCCGCAAGTAGAAAATTCCACACCACAATGCTTTGTTTCATGCACCAAAATACCAAAAAATATTGTACAGATTACCTGGAGGCTATGTATACCAGGGGTGTATGAAACATACATGAGTTCTGTGCTTAGAGCCAGGTTGCAACCCCAAGGTACCTTATGTCTATATGTAAATGTTCCAAAGTCTGAAAAAAAATTCCAAACTCTAAAAAACTTCTGCTCCCAAGTATTTTGGGTTGGAGATATTCACCCTTTAACGTATTCTGAGTCATTACATCTGGTAGGTAACACACTATTCTATGATTGTTTTCTCTTGATGACTCTTGGTAGAGGTACAATTATTTCCACTTGATAGCTAAGGAAGCCGAGGCTCGCAGAGGTAGAAGATCTTGCCTGAGGTCACTCAGGGTAATTATGCTGTGGGATTCCCACCTCTGAGAGACTCCGGAAAGCCTGTGCTCAGATGACTAGCAGTCTTCCCTTACAACTCTGCGGGAACAAGTTTAGGGGGGATGGAGAGTAGAGAGAAAAAAAGCAAAAGAAGGTAATGTGTTCATTCGTGTAAGGCCGTGCTGAGTCTAGTGGAGATGCCCAGGAAAAGGTGGGCATGTGGGGTTGACCCCAGGGGAGAGCTATCGGCTGGAGACCATGAGTTATCAGTACCTAGGTCACAGAGGAAGCCGGAGGAGCGGGGAGGTCGGATAAGAAAAGGCCAGGAAAACATCTAGGGAGCGTGAATAGTTGAGGCACAAGTAGCAGACGAGGTGGCCCACAGAGGAACCTGGGAGGAGCCAGAGAGATGGAAAAACAACCGAGAAGACTGTGAAACAAAGGAAAGGGCTTCAAAAGGAGAAAGGATGGGCGGAGTCAAATGCTCAGTCCTAATCAGGTACAGTAAGGACTGAAAAGTTGCCACTGGTCTTTAAGTACATTCATTTTTAGCTCTGAAGATAACTTTCATATTTTATTATTCACAGAAACCAGCCTCTTTTCTGCCTTTACTGCTCTGTAAGAGTTAATGGTTGGAAAATTAAAAATAGAGCTGGAGGCTGGGTGTAGTGGCACATGCCTATAATCCCAGCACTTGGGAGGCTGAGGCGGGAGGATCACTGTGAGTTTGAGGCCAGCCTGGGCTACAGAGTGAGCTCAAGGCCAGCCTGAACTGCATAATGAAACCCTATCTCAAAAAAACAAAAAAAAAAAAAAAAGAAGGGCTGGGCATGGGGGTGCAGCCTCTGGGAGGAAGAAACAAGAAGGTCATAAATTTGAGCCCAACTGGGGCAATTTAAGTGACTAAGCAAAATCTTATCTCAAAATTTAAAAAGACTAAAATTAGAACTGTTAAATTAGAGCAGTTTAGTGTGAAGGCCCTGGGTTCAGTCTCTAATTCCACAAGATAATAAATAAAGTTAAGACAAGCACAGATTTAACCCTATATGGAAGCATATTATTATATTATATATATTTTGTATATATTACATATGTAAGCATCATATTATAATATATAATACTACTATATATTTATAATCAAATTAGTAATTTAAAATGTAGTGGAAATGTAACTCAACTTAGGTAACAAAAGAAAAATTAAAGTAACTTTATATTAAAGATGAAAACATGTGTAAGAATGGCCAAATTCTAAAAACTTGGAATAGAAACAGATTTAAACATTTATCTATCCATAAAAGGACCAATTTTTAGCCCAATTCTAATGATTCACTATAGCATCTTTTAAAATCCTTAATTGTTCCTCCCATAGAACAAACACATAGGTACAGTCAGTGAGAAATATTCAATAATTACATAGCTTTTGAAAGAATAATCTAGATTGAAGGACATGTTGTTTAAAACAGTATCTAATATACAGATGCCCTGAAGAAAAATAGTGACAAACCTAACTTTGTAAGAATGTAAATATAATAACAAAAGCAGGAAGAAATAGTTGTCATATCACAGTGGATTAATGTGCCAGTGATAGGCAAAGAAACAACAAAA